AATATATGGAAAAAATAAAAATATAAGTATAAAATTACTTCCAAAATGCTGCACCATTATTCACCAAAATAATCAACCTTGAAAATGAAAAATTAAACCATTAGTAGAAGCACCAAAATATATATAGAAGATAATAGAAAATAAAGAGAAATTTACATTATTGAATAATAAAAGAAAATTAATGTAAAAGATTAACTTGATTTTTTCATGTCAAATTATCATATTCGTATTTCATCTTTTGAACATACAGGTCTATATGGCTTTAGAAAGATAAAATAAAATAAAGTAAGAAAAGAAACAGACTTTGTGGATTCCAATTGAGAAAGTTGAGAGCATTTGAGTGTCAAGGAAAAAGAGAAGGGCTACGGCCTTAACTCTTAAGACACTGCCTTAACCCAATCTTCCAGAGTGGAAACACCTAAAAAAGCGGTTTTTATTTTTATTTTTAATCCTCTTGGTCGTTGAGACTGAGATGAGAAAAGGGTTAAATAAACCCTAATTATCAAAACAATGTATAGGATGCAAATGCAAATAATAAAAGACACACAGATGCACACCTACCGATCTTTACCCAAAAAAGGAAAAAACCACACCTAGGGATTCTGATGTTGGGTTTGAACTTTGAACGCGCTTGTTACTCGGTAGTCGGCCTCAATTGAACCGAGAGTGGGTGGAAGTAGGGCTGAGAATCAAGTACAGGTATATCTGATATTTGTGTGTACTTGATTTTTTTAAATAAATATTTTACTTGTATTTATAAAGAGATAAGTAAATACTGCGTATAAAAAATGTATACATGTTAACTATCGGATAAGTATTGGGTATGAGGTTCAATACCTACATACCTGGCTTGTATACCTGACCCATATACTTAACTTTTGTATCTGACTCATATACTTAATTTATATTCTAGTTTTATATGCTTAAATTGTAATATAATGTTATAAAATTAAAATGTTTATGTTTTTTTCTTTTCTTTTCTTTTGATAGTAAAGATTCAATTGAAGGAAAATTATGTGGATTTTTGTTTATATTTCTTTTATTATATATATACTTATATATGTGTAAGTATATATATTCATGTATTTTGTTTTGTAAATAAACTTGTATTATATATATGAACTTGTAATTGTATATTAATTTATGTATTTTTAATGTAAAATTTAATAAATATATAAATATATCTATGGTATACCTACACCTAATAAATTGAGTAACGAATATAAATTTTAATATCCAAATAAGTATTAAGTATCAAAATCTTTTACATATCACCGTTCAAGTTAAGTATGGACCAATACCTGACCATATCTACCCATGTTCACCCCTAGAGTTCCACCGTGAAAAGACACACCTACCGACTCTGATGTTGGGTTTGAATTGGGAATTAGGCCTCTGGGTAGCCATTGATTACAAGCATTTAGCCACTAACTAATCATTCATCAATCTTGACTGGTCCAAGTCCATCAAATCGTCATGCACTGCATGTATAATAAAATTGACAAAACTTGGATTTTTTATGGGCCGTGATTTTTACTTATATATATATAT